ATGACCGAAGTATTTTGTAACTGATCCTCGTTTTAGCAAGTTCATCTATTATTTCGTAGGCGGAAATACTTATTTTGTTCCAGGTCCCCGATGGCCTGGAATACCATACCAGTACGATAATTATGCTCCACTAGTGTGCCCAGTTCTTCTCGGCATTTCCACACCAGTCTAGCACAATTCGGGCACCTAAAAACCCCCAAAGCCGCTTGACTATGTGCATATATTGATCTAATCAAAAGTAAATTCAAAAATCCCTTCAGTTGATTTCTCTTACACCTGCCTTCTCTGCCTAAAATATAAATGTAAATTCTTCTAAATGGTATATTTTTCCTGTGTCGCAATCCCTTAACATGGTCGGTATTCTCATTTTTAGCCTATACTATGGTTGACTCTTTTTACACGTATATATATACCTACATTCGACTGTTTGTGTTAGTCGTTGCCGCATTGGCTTTGATAATGTCTATTGCAGTTGTTCGCAAAGTGAAGTGGTAATGTTTATTTATAATATATAATATTACAATATTTATTTTAGGGAGGTAGAAAATGCCATATGGAGGAACTGTTTAAATCGTTCACTAGAGCCTTAGATCTAGCAATTCAAGAAGAGTTCGACACTGCGAGTCAAGTCTCTGAGGAGGAGTGGGAAGCAATCAGACCCATTAAAAGCGAACGAAGAGATTTTCTTTTAAAGAATATGAAGGTAAGAATATCATAGATATAATATAATTACAATCATTTCATTACATTTGAAGGGTACAGGTCCATAAAGAGCTAAGTCACCAAATGTTTTTTTCGTACAAAACGAAGTTTAAATTTTAAAACCAGTTATTGATGGTTATCACGACCTCTATTGATTAGATCAGTTACTTATGTAATTAATGAAACACACAGAAGAAATTAAATTTATATTGATATTATAAAAAATAGAACAGAAGCTTTAATTGGTCAAACCACCAAACATTATTGGCTTAAAGGGGTCCAAGTCCAAAAAAAAACAAGTTAAAATGACAAGTAGACAAAAGTTATTAATATGAAATAATTCTAATTCTTAGGCAGGTTATCAAAAAATTGTTTTGCTTCGTCACCACAGAATCGTTTCAAATATTGTAGGCATTTAAATTTTTTAGCCGAGATTGGTAAAAGACCTAAAAATAATGTTGTTTAATAATAGTATTCCAAGATATTAATAATTTTTTATACCTGAATAAGAATACGGAGGAAGTTCAAATTCATTTTGTAGCAGCACTGGTCCCTTTCGCTTACTATCTTTTTCCTTCACTATTGCTGACTCCCATGCTCCATTATAGGACTCCCGGTAATATATCAATCTACGATGATCTTGATGTATTTCTAATTCTCGAATTGGACGGGAACTGAAAGGACATTTCTTCAAATAATCTGTTTTCGTATTAAAAAAATTCGTCCATGCTCGAAAGTAGGATTGATCTATTTCCACAACGTCAAAGGGCGATGGTTTTGCACGAGCACTTCTAAAAATTTCAACCCAATCTAAAGGAATCTCAGCTCGTTGTTTGGAGTTTATTAAGCCCATATTTTTATCCGGTTCCATATAGGAATGGCCACGAATAGGGAAAGTAACTTTAACATAATCAAGTCTACGTGTATTGTGGACAATATAATGCAAAAAACGAAACATGGTGAAATTTTTATTTTGTCCCCCACACGAGTCGCAGAATATTTCAAGCGATCTTACTTGTATATCGAGAAAATTCCAAAGAAAGTCATTCAGCATTGAGCATACATCGTCGCTTCCCTTTTTGCCAATTGTTTCCGGGTAAATGTAAAACACACTTTTTGCTGTAGATAGAATGTGGACATTAAAGGCATAGACGTTCAGCTGGCTCTTATAGTAAACATCGTTTGTTGTTATGTTTGGGACACTGAGATTTTTTCCAAAATCGAGACAAATAGCTTCGTGAGTCACAGAGGTTCGAGTTTTTTTCTTCGCAGCTCTTTTTCTACTGTAAAATACCTCAGCCTTTCTTTTGTGTACATCATTTTGTATCGTAAGCTGGCGTATTTCCTTTTGCAAGCGTTCATTTTCAGCAAGATCGAAACTACTGTTTAAAATATCAGACTGAAGAGATTTTATTTTTATAAGAAACTCATCACAGGAACTACATGTATCAGTTCTGGGATATCCAAAGGCTATGTTAAATTTTGTATTAAAGACTGTTCTGTAAGACTCGTAAGATATTTTCATAGAAGGGTTCAACTCGCAAAACATTTTGAACATCTTTTTTATGTTTAACTCTTCAGGTAAGTATAATTTTTTACTATCATTCACACTATAGTGGCTTTTCCTGCCTTTAAATGACTTTATATGTTCGTATATTGCTACAAGAACGTTGGATTCCAATTTTCTAGGATGGTTTTTATTTTCTCCCCTTTTATCTTTAGGGGCGACTCCAGTCATTTTTAGTGAATTTTGTAATATCTCTATTTTTTTTTCTTTATTCCATGAATAGACATAAAAGCTTGTCTACAAATATTTATTTCTTTTAAGCTATTATCAGTGCTAAAACGTACCCTGTAAGAATATGCAGCACTTCTCAAATTTGCTTCGTTTTCATCTTTCCTAGGCCTTCTTCGGCGAATAGGCAGTACTGTAATCAATCCACATAAGTATGAGTTCTGCTCATTAATAGAAGTCATTGTGTTAAAATTTTTGAGTACAGTTTTTCTTGCTTCTTCGGGCACATTTTGAAAACATTGTTTACGACAATTACAGGTTGCACCTACCTCGTGACTCTGCAGTCTAATTTTTTTCATGACATCTCTCATTCTGCCGTGCTTTTTCCTTTTTTTTGATTCATTCTGTTTAGGCACTACTTCAGTCTCATTTCCACTACTATTGTTTTCTGTATTCATTGTTATTTACTTTTAAATCACTTAAAAAACAATGAAAACAAACTAAACCGACGAACCTAACTCTAAACTGCGCGTATTAGATTAACGTCTATTAGCTGTTTATATGGACTTTACCCTTTTAGGACCTGCCTGATAAGGACTTGCCCCCTATTGGTGGTGTATGCGTAAATTAGAATTAGTATTTCACGGGAACTAAGCGCTTTTAGGACGTGTAACCAGTCGCTGACCACTTCTACGTTAAAATTGCTACAAGATGGCACCACTAGATCTATTTATGAAAAATTGCGACTTGCCCCCTTTTGGCCCTGTACCCTTCATTTGATAATTAAAAGTTAGAATTTAGAAGTATACTTAATAATTAAGTTAGAACTATTTGGTTGTAAATTTAATCAACATTCTACTGATAAAGTATTTAAGCAGTGTTAATATTCTCATGTTGACTATATCAGAACGAAAAGTCAATCGTTTCTCAAAACGTCATTTGGGGAATCTTTATTTAAACATCAATCTTTTATTTACTATTTCTATTGGTACTTAACCACAATTTCAGTTTAAAATACGTTTATTTTGACATTTGGATTTCAACTTCGAAAATCGTTTTCAAAGTACAAATTAAACAAAAGCAAAATTGTCAAACAAAAGTTTAATTTGTATTTTGAAAACGATTTCCGAATTAGAATTTGAAACGTCACAATAAACGCATTTCGAACTTAAATTGTCGTTAATTCCCAATAAAAATAGTAAATAATATGCCACAAGAAGATAGCCTTAAAGCGAGTTTATACATGCATGTCCATCTCTTTAATTTGTCGTTAGTATTCAACAAAAGTTTCCCATTTGCATCTTTCAGTATTCCCGGTTTTCTTGTTCTATTGTTGTGAGTTAATTCTTTAATTTTTTTATGTGTGTTAAAACTATCAGGTCTTTTCTGGTATTCTTCTATTTCTGCGCATTGTTCTTTTAACCATTGTTTTTTCGCTTTCTTAATTCTGTATTTTATTTGTTTATTCACTTTTTTGTACATCTGATTATCTTTGTTTTTATATTGACGTCTTTCTTCTATTTAAATCTAAAGTTAACGTTTTATACCTTTGCCCAATGTTCCATCTCCAGCGTGCCTTGATGGTAGTGGTAAGTTGTCGGTGGAAATGCGTACGTACAGAGAAATGGCAAGCCGGTGGCGAGTGCTAGTTTTGCTATCGTTGCATGTTAAAGAGAGGATTAGCTCTGTGGAAAAGATAGGAAACTGAATTGCCAGGAATCTTTATAAATAAGTAGATTAATATTACTGGTTATTTTTTGCACTAGAAATAATTGTAGCTTCATTGACTAAGTGAGTAAAATTGCATGATTTTTCAATTGACATCAATTTGTGGTTTATTTGTGATTTATTTTTTATTTTCATTTCAGTCTTGGTATGGTATGAAAAATTTGTCTTTATGTTATTATAACGTTCACAGATTATTTTCGTTCACAATATTAAATAATTGCTTACGATGAACAAGTAATTTGATTCCCTCTTCGTTAGTGTGTCTTTGGCTATCAGATATTCATTTTCTCCAATGTTTATTAATTCATATCAATTGAATCTTCGGTAATGTTTAGATAATAGTCCTTTGCCGAATCTTTGCAATTCTTGTGCTTCTTTGACCTCATAAATTAGTTTTTTATAGTCGCCTTCTAAAAGTAGGGTAGACCTAATACTTGACTCCATGTAAATTTTATTCAAACCATCCTCGAAATGCTTTTTAAGGTTTCGATTGATTCACTCATGTATAAGAAATTATCAGAAACTACACTGAATAAAACTCGTGTTGCCGGTAAGATTCGATTTGACGCGGGATTTCTTGCCATAAAGCGAAACTAGTCGTGTGTTTCCGACGGCCTTCGCAGTTTCGCATTGTGGGTCATTGTAATTTATCCACAACGCGTTCTGTGCACGTCAAACATACCCGAAACGCGATGTGAGAATTCTTTCATTTCTAGATCTTCTATTTGCCCTTGTTGCCCTGTTTAACTTTGTACCTTTAATTACTTATGACATTTGTTGTTTTTAGAATTACCTTTCTAAGAATGGAGTATGTGATAATTGTACCTATTGGCAAATGAAGACAGGTGAAACTTGGGGTGTAGAATACCAGACGATTGACCAAAAAGCTCAACCGAGGCTGGTTTCTGTGGGAACGTGGAGACCAAGCGACGGAGCCGAAATGACTGATGAGTTATTTCTACACGTTGCTCATGGATTTAGAGGAAAAGTTCTGCCCATGATAACATTTCATGTAAGTATATTATTAATGTTTTTAATAGATCAGTCGAAGTACTAGATTAAATAAGCTAGAACTAACTTAAAAGTTATCTAAGAAAGGTTATATACATATTGCATCAAAAACAGATAGTGAACGTGACTCTACTGCCATCACTGCGTTAATAATATGAAAATTTAAATTGGTATTATCTTTTTTTAGAATCCACCATGGCAGATTCTAAAATTCAATGAAACTGGTGATGTTATAGAGTACAGTGGACTAATTTTTGATGTCATTTTTGAGCTGTCCAGAAATTTGAACTTCACATTCCGCCTTGAAATTGTCAACAAAACAAATACAGGTGAGCAAAGAGTAAAAAACCTTTCATGTAATTTGGAAATATTCAGTACTTTGTATAGTATCTGAATACTTTCTGATCTAGCATGAGTGACTTGAATGTAAATGTGTCTTAGCCTATACAGTGTACGTAAAAGTTTATGGTGTGACCTATGGTGATTAGAACACCTATTTAAATAGAGAGAGGTATATTAGGTCCGCCCTTTATATCGTCGAAATAGCATTAGTGGAACTAAGAAAAGAGAAGAAGTTCAACGTTGCCAAACTTATTGGTTTTATTCGACCTGTTGTCTTTTTAGCACTTTAACAACGTTCTAAGATAATCAAATTTGGGCGAATTGATTTAAACGGCAGCTTACTGTTTTTTAGTTTAAATATGACACAATTTTCCTTTACAATAAGTTTAACATGTTGATTTTCACTTCGGAAATCGTTTTATGTAAACAAGAATAAAATAAATAAATAAAAAAATAAAAATAATAAACTGCATTATGACACCACAATAAAAAAGTTTCTTACAAAATTATTTGGCAACGTTGAGAGTAGAGGTGAATCGTTGACGTTTTTATCGTTACCGAAACTGAACCGCTTTTTGTAAACAAGTAACAAGTTGAAAAACTAATTAAAATATTTAAGCGAGTACATAAACGTTAACCTCATTAACAAAAACTGGAATAATGTTTATGGAATCTTAGACACTAATCTAGCATTTCAAGCTTTTATAAATATCTTTTTGTATTATTTTAATAATAGCTTTCCAAAGCTATTATTAGCTAGCATTTTTAAAAAAGGAGATCCAAAACTGGTCAGCAATTATAGGCCTATAACAATTCCCAGTATATTTTCAAAGGTATTTGAGTATGGATATTTAAAGAGATTAAATGGTTATCTAATAAACAATAGCATATTATAACTATAAATCAACATTGATTTCAAGAAAATAAATCTACTAATACGGCAGTCCATGCATTTTATGCTCATTTAACCAGTTTGATTGATGCAGGCGAATGTCCTATTGGAATATTTTGTGATCTTAGTAGGGCATTTGACTGTGTAAACCATGAAATATTATTTAAAAAACTAAAACAGATAGGTATTACAGGAAACTCTTTACAGTGGATTATGTCATTTCTAAACAATAGACAACAATATGTGAGCCTGCAGACGAGGATCGAGGATTGTGTGACCAGTTGTAGATCTAGTCTTGTTACTATGTACATGGGTGTTCCCCAAGGATCTATAATAGGACCAATTCTCTTTGTAGTCTACATTAACGACATCGTACAAGTGGACAGAGCGGTAAATTTTACTATATATGCGGATGATACGTCAATTATTCTATCTAACAAATCCAACGTAATCCTACAACATCAATGTAATAATTTTCTTTCATCTTTATATTCTTGGTTTTGCGATAACTCGTTGCATCTAAATGCAGAAAAAAACGCAAGTTATACATTTTCACAATAAACAAAAATACTTAGAAAATCTTCAGCTTATTTTTAACAACATGCAAATAGATACGGTGTCGTCAGGCAAGTTTTTGGGAATAACGATTGACGAAAGTTTGGATTGGAAGTTGCATTGTGGAGCGGTTGTTTCGAAGTTGAGTTCCATTAACTATCTAATTAGAAATTTAAAATATGTTCTGATGGAAAATCAGCTAATTATGATTTATTATGCACTCGTATTTATGTCCTCTCATCAGGTGCCTCTTTCAATTTCCCAGTTTTACTTCAAATCAACTTCATTGCCAATTTGTTTAGTTAAAAACGGCGTCGCTTCAACCAATACACAAACTTGAATTTCTCTAATTTCTCGTTCTTGAGAAATTTTCTTTTCGCGAGGTTAATCTGATGGGCAACATTTTTTACATCTGCCATTAGTACAGCCAAACGTTTCAAATTAATGAATAATGGCTAATACAGTTTTTTTCTATAAGTATTGACCTATTTTCAAAAGCCATAATAAATAAATTGATGGTTTCTTGTACTGAATTGCCCATAAAGTACAATTTTATTATTTGTACGCGTTCTTCTGTTGTATAAACAGTCGGCATATTTATTTCTTATCTTCACACTTACCAAAATTGGGTTACAATTTTGTCAAATAAAAATGCGAATCTAAATTTTCCATGGATTTTAGAAATGTTGAACCAGTATTTGTGTCAATTAACATTTCATTTGTAATATATCATTATTAAGTTTTGAATGGCAATATAACCGCACCACATCGTTTCTCTATACGTTATAAGCTAAGCTGGATCGGAAATAATCGTATGACGTTCCTTAATGGGCGTGTCTAAAAAATGTGGAGGGGGGAACAAAGGGAAATATATTTGTTTTCTTTGTTTATTCGCTGAAAGTATGATTTTATATATGTGTTAGATATCATGTTAAATTCTACCATACCGACCATAAACTTTTACCTATACTGTATATCTCTCTCGTTACTGCATTAATCAAGAAGAAAAAATATGTTAAAAAAACAACAGGAAAGTAGAGGAAACTATATTTATAGTTTACTTATCAGTGGAAATAACTATAATTTAACTTCGTGTAATTTTAGGATCTACTAACTCTACTTCTTACGATACAAACAACGATTTGACCAATAAAGTACCAAAAATTTTAATAGATTTAATAAAAAACAAAACGGTAGCTTTGGGAGCATGCGCAGTCACAGTCACCGAAGACTTGAAGCTAATGGTAAACTTCACCAGACCGATCACTATTTTGACCTATACGTTTTTGGTATCCAGGCCCAAAGAGCTCAGCAGAGCGTTGCTCTTTATTTCTCCGTTCACTATGGACGTAAGTTTCAATATAAACATGTTTTGTTAATAAAAATAATCTGATTTATGATTATAAAATTGTATTTCATGTTACAGAGCGTCTGTCCAATGTAAGTTTTATTTAAATTATTATAATGCAGTTTGGCTATATTTTTGTTTAAAAATATATTTTACTTTTGCAACGTATATATTTTACATTGCAAGCAAATGTTGTTTTAATTTAGAAGTACAAATCTCATTATTTTCACAAAATAGTTTATTTATGTTGTAATTTGTAGACATGGTTGGGTCTAGCCGCTGCTATTGTATCAATGGGTCCACTACTGTACTTTATCCATCGTCATAGCCCTGTTTATGAATATAAAGGAATAGCTATGAAAGGAGGTTTAGCATCTATCCAAAACTGCATATGGTACATGTATGGGGCTTTACTACAACAAGGTAAGTACCGAGTGTCCAAGGGGCCAACAAATCAAAATAATATTTATGAATGATGACTTTATGAATTGATTATAATAAACTCTCTCTTGAACGGACAACAGCTATGTCGCATGTAGTGTTCGACACATAAAAGTGTCTGTTAAAGGAGAAAATAAAATATATACTCTTAAAGTATTTAAATATGTAGACGTACAACTGCATACAAATTTCTACTTGTTTAAAAATCATATACATATACCCGACATACATACACCCGTCAAAGAAGAATAGTACAAAACATAATACAGCGAATTATGATGAAAATTATGAAAATATAAGTGGGTAAGACAAGTTGCGAGATTCGAAGATAACAGGTGATCTTTAACAATAATAAATTGTAAACCTTGCGCGGACAAAAGAGTAAGACATGGAGATATATTTGTCATGTTCCTAGCTATTGTCGATGCGTCTATTGTTGATCTCCCTTTTCTAAATCCTTGTTGATAGTATTCTATATTTTTTTCCATATAACAATTAAGTCGATTTCATATGATTGTCGTCAAGATCGTATACGTTATATTCAGTAACATAATAGTTCTATAGTTGTTGCACTTAGTTGGATGCTCCCGGTCTTAAAAATTGGTTTAATGTGTCAATTTTTCCATTTTACAGGCATTTTTTCGTCCTTCCAAATGTTTATCATTTTTTATACATCCGTTTCAGCAGCTCCTCTTCGCCGTTTATGATCAGTTCGTTGATTTCATCTGGCCCCGTAGTTTTGATTAGTATTAGTTAATTTAAGACATCTATGAATTCTGGATAGGTATCTTTTGGCTGGTTTGGAATCCTGCTACATTCACACGACAAAATTCGAAAAAATAACAATACCATATACATGTAAAAGAATTATAGAAAAATTTCGTTCGACGTCATGCGGTTGAGTAACGTGTTTTTATTTTATTTTTTTAATTAAGTTGCCTGACCTCAGAAGAAGATGTATGATAAGATAACTTATTTCACAGTGTTCTTTTTTATATATTAATTTAATTTTTTTTCACTGCCACAGAGCTATATAAAAACGAGATTTTAAGGAAAAAAATCCAATCATTTAATATTATGTCAAATTCGTTTTTTTTTTAAATTTATTATGGTTGCCTGAGTCAAAAAAAATATTTTATACGATAAATTTGATCATAGTATTTTATTTGACAACAATTTTTTTTTCTACTGCCGCAGCGCTGTAAAAAATTAAGAATTTTTCAAAAAAAAAATGTATTGTATGGTAGATTTATTTTTTTGCATACAAAAAAATTAATTTATTACTAAAGCTAAATTTGTTTTGAACACATAATACAACAATACAAATACAAAAATAGTTTATCTATAAATATATAACGATACAAAACAGAATGTCTTTCAAAGTAACAATCACATTATTTCAAAAAAAAGTCTTTCTTTGATTCATATTTCGGCATATTTTCCCTTAATTTCAGCCTGTTCCTTATATAACCGTCTCTTTTTTCACTTCCACAGACAGAAGCTGAACCTTCTGGTACTATTTTGATGGCCCACTAAACCGCTTGTGTGTGACAAGGGTATGATTTTACGTATGCCAAAAGACTGGTTTCAAGATTTTCAACAACTTCCCTTAGTTGGTCTTTTGATAGCTTCATAGTTACAGGAGGCTCTGTCCATAAAAATTTCTGGCAGTCGATAATCTCAAAGTAATTCTTACTGCCAAAAAATAATTCTGGTACTACGAAATGTCGCTGATCATTGTAATTTAACTGTCTGCTCATCAAAATTCTTTGGAACCCCAATTGTCGTATGTGTTTACGTTCGTCAAACAACATAGCAAAAATAATATTTTCTGGGCTCCCAAAGTATCCATTTCTTTGAATACATTTATAGACTATGTCTTTTAATTCTGGTAGTAAATAGTCGCAGAGTCTTATTGTCTTGAATAGATGCCTTGCACCATACATGCAAGGACGGTGAGTCTTAATACAAAACCACATAGGCGCATACACTTTCATTACAAAATGGCTTAGTATTTGTAAATTTTCCGACGGGTTTCTGGTTGCTACATATAACCGAAGGATACGGGAAGCAGTGGTAAGCCACCGAGAATGAACCATTTTTCTAGGATATCTCTTAGAAAGTTTTTCTGAACAAGCACCACTTTTTACTGCTTGACAAATATCGTACAGATATTTTTGATCTATACTTAGATCGTCCGCTGCGAAACTCGTCCTATTTCGCTGCGAAATAGGACGAATTTTTCGTGAATCTATTTTTGAAAATGAAACTACCGGAAGTAGTTTCACAAACTTGCAGTCGTTTTCCAAGAGGCCCCGAAAAACGCACTTGGTCCACTGGTATTGCCATCCAGTTTTTCAAATAGGTGTCTTAGAGGCAACTCGTTGGTGTGAAACTGACAGACAAACCACTGCAGGGGCCTTCCAATTTTATTCTCCAGTAACACTATAATGCCTCCTTTACGCCCTGTATTTGTGACAGTACCGTCGCATCCACGACTTCTAAGTTATTGGGGTCCAAATTACATTTTTTTTTAAACTCCAAGATTGCATTTGCTATATTAATAGCAGTGCCAGATGTAGGACAAACGTGGCCCAGATACTTAGAACCAGGTTCTTCTAACATTGTGATATGCTCTTCCTCCACAGTTTTTCTTGCATTTTTCCTGGAGCACTAAAGACTTGTCTTTCCGTCCATCAAAGTAAAGACCACGAAGACATAATGGAATGGAATCGTTCTGAACCTCAATTCTTTTCTTTTATCTTCTTATTTTGGTCTTATCGATGATATTTGTTTATTTTGCGGATCTATGACACCAAAATCTAGTAGCACCGCTGATGCAATAGCTGCTCCTGCTCGGTCTGAAACCAAATACCGGTCAAGTCTTTCAGCTAATCTTGGTATTTTTTTCAGATTGCGTTAAATGCCCTCTGAGGTACTGGGCAAATTCGATAAGCTAGGTTGTAAGTTAAACACGGGCAACTTTGAAGTATTTGCATATGGAATAGAGAAGTCTGGGTCAAAATCTTCAGTATTATATTTATCACACACATCTGTCGGTAGTTCACAAGAAGATTGAACTTTTTCAATGACTGTTACACTAGTTGATTCTGATGTATGTGACGAAGCCATTACGAATGCTTTTTTTCTCCTTCTGCAAAAGTTTCTGGGATTCAACTTTATCAAGGGCACCAATCTTCATTTGGCGACAAGTTCTTTATGCAATTACATGCAATAGTTTCAGAATCCTTACATTTACAGGTCGATATGTCAAACAATCGTTCACTGTTACTTAAAAAACGATTCCAATTGAGATTTGTAAACTGGGAACATTTTGTCTTTTCTTAGAGGGTTTAAGAATTTGCCTTTGTTGTTCTTGATATTTTCGCAATAAAAAAAATAATCTTTTGGTGGCTTATGATTGGAATTGAAGCCTTGATCCAAACAGTTTCTACTTTCTGAGCTACAATTTCCCAAGCTTCTGGAATAAGTCGATACTTATTGACACCATTTTTTTCCAATGCGAAACGAACCCACAAAAAATAACGGATAACATCTTCGTATGTTGGTAATTGCTAATCATTGAAATCAATAGGTGCGCCAAAAATTGGACACTTGAACGATTCTCTAGTTTTAAGCCATTTTATCACACGCTACTTTCTACTCAACTGTCAGTAAAACACTAAAAATAATATAAGTGTCGCTAGGCCGTTTAATTGATTGAAATATTGGTTTACACTTACACCACTGCAAAAATCTGCAGCATAAGCGAAGCGTTGACCTCCAATGTCACGTTATTTTAAGAATGATACTATATTTATAATCGGTAATATCGCTTCTCCAGAGCAACATCGACGCAAGTACAGATTACTAAAATGCTGGAAAATTGACTTTTAAAAATATTTTTACAGCAAAGTAAACAAAGTGAAAGTTTAAGTGAATATTTTTGAAACTGAAATTACTTTTTTTAATGGTAAATTTAGTCTAATTTTAAATGACAATCTTAGTGTTTTGATAATAAAACTTTTAGAGTCTACACAGATCTCAGAACTTTGCAGCCTCCCAGTTGCGTCATTGTTCTTCCAATGTTTTTCAAATAGTTTCTGAATCGGTTTGAGTTGGTCTACAATAGTAACATTAAAAAAATTTAAAGAAAGGTTTAGGTATATAATTTTATTGTCAGTAAATAATACAAACTACTCAAAATGATAAAAAATAACAAAAACACTACTCAGAATTACTAAAAAGTAACATTTGTTTTTTGTACACCTTTAAAAAAAATTAACAAAAACATTCACAATTCAAAACAAGCTATTAAAAAAAGGTTCGTAATATTTGGGAATTATATTACTTGATAATAAATTTTCTAGGTCCCTTTTCTTATTTTCAGAGATCGGAATTTTTGAAATGTATGCAGGTCTTTTTCTAACATCTACATTATCATCTGTCCTTGTCACTCGTCTACTTTTTACGGTTATAGCATAGGCCTGATTCCAATCCACCTGTTTGTAGCTGGTTTTGTAAAAGAACCTATCACTTTCCTTCTCAAATCGAATTATTTTAATATCTGACAATTTTATTTGTTCGCCGTGTATATTTTTCTGGCAGTTGAAGCCGATGTCGTTAGCAAGCGTTTTCAAATCGATGAAGTCATTGTAACTTAATTCTTTTACTAGAAGAGGGTTTCCTTTTTTCTTTGCGTTTCTAATAATCGACACAATTTGATCGGGAACGTATATCGGTCCTGACTTTTTAGCTCTTTTCATAGCTTTTTCGATGATACTGTGGACTACATCACCTTCGTTCTGTGTATGACCTCGGATGAGATACTTGTGTGTTATGGAATTTAACTGAAACTTCTTAATTGCGTAGTAATACATTGCAAGGACAAATCTGTTTTTTTGCTGACCACCGCAGTTATCGGAATAAAGAATTATGTCAGATTGAGGATGTGTATTAGCGATTTCTTCAAGAAATGAAAGGACACATGAACCAATTTCGACTGCTCCTCTATGTCCTAGACCTTCATGCCAGAAGTAACAGGATGTCTTGTCATTGCCTATTTCTGATATCGTAAAATTAAAACAATTTAATCTTGATTTATAGTAAAAAGCTGATGTTTGTCCCATAGGTACTGGCAGGACAGCTTGTAGGTCATACATTACCAAAACTGTATTTGATCCATCTTCTTTTGCTTTTTCTTTGTCTGAAGCTTTCTCAGTTCTACTTAGTTCTTTTTCCTCTTGATGTGACTTATACTGACATTGTAATTTTTCTTTTTCTTCGTCAGGCGCGTTTTTAAATGATTCACACAAGTCGCATTGGTCTTTCTTTGGGAAAAAGAAACCAATATTGAATTGTGTATTAAATATGTAGGCGTAGGCGTCATAGTTTGCAGCAGGCTGGCCCAAATCGTCTTGTTGCTTTTTATAGTGTCTGTGCATTTCTGCAATCGATAAACCGCCATCTATAAACTCTCTTGATGTGTTAGCCCTTTGGTAATGGCTCTCTGTACGGGGTATAGAATTTATATGTGATTTTACAGACACCATCATTTCAGGGTTCATCTTTACCTGTTGACCATGTTTTCCACGTTTATCTTGCGGTACAATTCCAGACCCAGAAGCTTTTGCTTGGATAATTGTTCTAATTGATCTCTCCTTAATGCCAAAAGTGTTCATCAGGTATGTTTTGCATACACGCATTTTTTTTCCATTGTGAAGCAGATAGAAAGCACAGTTCTGTCTTCTAGGTGTTTGGATAGTTCTTATGCGGCGATAACTCAACTGAAGTGGTTCAATACAAGAAGACAAATAATCACGTTGTCTCTGCAGTGATCCTAGATTCCAATACTGCTGAAAGAAATCAGCTCTATGGTCTTCGCTAAACTTCTCTGAACACTTCTGAATGCAACGATTAGAGCAAGTAGGTCCCATTGTTTTTTTATTCACAACTTTTCCAGTTCTTGAAATATAACTTTTTCCTGAATTCTTAAGGAGTTTAGCTTTATTTTTTCGCCATTCTTCTGGATTTCTTACTCTCTTCTTACCTTTTTTGATGAGCGTACAATTTTCTGTATTATTCAGAGGACTTATTTTATTTTCAGAAAATAGACTTCTGGGTCTCTTTTTCTCTTTTATGGTAGGGGTCGAATTTGTTTCACTTTCCGACGATATATTATTTTCTGATGGTACATAGTTGTCACTATCTTCTCCAAATAAGCTGTTCTCATCATCTGAGGAATGTTGCTCATTATAGACTGTTCGAGACATTTCTCTCAAAGTGATCTTGGTTGATGAGTGGGTTTCAACAGAATATGATGTACTGGGTTGTGTTTCATAATTGTTTGAAATACGTAGATTATCTAAAAGTAATTAATAATCAATAAAAGTAATTTTGATTAAAAAAGGAAAGTACCTACCTGGTCCAAGTTCACAAGGCTTATGTAGGAACATAATATTAGGGTCTAAACTCGAGGAATTCGGACTTAAATTCACTGGCTGCAATTCTGATAAAATGACCGCATCATTGAGTGTTTCTGAAATATTATTGTCTTCCAATACTGATGGTTCCTCTGGAGTACTGTTCTCTTCTTGTAAATTGTGAGTGGCTAAATGAAGTATCAGCTCAATCCTTTTCATTATTCAAGATTATATTCGCGTTTTATTTCTTCACTGAAATACAAAAAATCTATTATATTGACTGTTTTTACACACACTATTTCACACAAATATTCAATGTTATTTGAGTTAACCATGACATAAATACTGGTTAAGTGACTATAAAATTTACTATTCAAAAACCATAACGACGTAAATGTGTACTTACGGCTTTAATCATCTAGCAAGTCGCCAGAGATATCAAATTTTCTAGGCGAACAATAACACAACTGTCCGTTACGCTGATGTTTCTCTGAGATTACACCAAAACTTTATTTTATTTTGTCACAATCTACACTTATGTCGTTGTAGAAATATAAACGAAGTGTTCCGTTCGACAGTCTTTGAACAACTGACATTTGCGGCGATTTCGTTCCAACAATATGGCAGAAAGTACATAATTTTGACAACGACGCAACTGCTTTCTAGCGGCCAATAAATGTACTACCTTTATGGTATTGTTCCATCCGATAGAATGGCACGTTCTGACTCTTTTGACACATGTAACTCAAAACTGCAAAAAATTGCACTTACGTCTTTGTTGCTCCGGAGAAGCGATATTAACTTTGTTTATACTAACGTCTACTTTATTGATATTGGGCATTTCGGCACACTCTTTGAACTAGGTTCCTAAAATAAATTTTTGTCTACTTATTAGTTAGTGGAAAAATACGCAAATAATACGTTATAACGTATGCATCAAACCGCCAGAACAATACAGATTTTATTTCAATTTTTTTAAGTTACAAAATAAATAACCCTGATGTTTCAAAAATTATATAATAAAAAAATATAAAGATCTGCGTTTGAAATAATTATTTTATTTTTATTTTTTCCACTGCCACAATGACCTTTTATATTAAAAAAATATAGAGTCTTTGTGGCAGTGGAAAAAAAATATTTTTAGCTACTCATTTTGGACTTAAAAATTTTTGTTTTAGTATAACTCAACTTTTTTGACCACAGGCGTTGTTATTTTCCAGAAAAAAATTTGTCGGCCCCACCATATGTCTGTCAGTAATTTCCCCGATTCAAATTCATAATAGGCAACCTACATTACGCGGTTCAGAGTAGTGGGTCAGGCTCGTCACTTTTTCGAAATTAACATTATGGTCTATTTGATTGTAATTATAGAATATACGTATAAAATTTCTTGGGAAACTCTATTTACTGGTATGGTCCCATCTCCTAATTATTTTGTTTCTATTTATGATAGTAGTAAATAGTTTTATCATTATTATTGCGTATAAATAGATAATTTACGTGCTATACAATTTCTTGGGAAATCCTAATTATATTGGACATTATACCCATCTGCATGTTGTTTTATAGGTATTTACTAAAATAAAATTTGTTTTTAGTAAAATTTAGGAAAGTCTCTGGACGGAAAAATAAAACCAGTTGTCCGTTACTATTATTTTTATATATACATAATATCATATCTATACAAGTGTCCATTAAGGCATAGTTCACTGAATTTTGAGTTTAGTTTATCGTACTGTATTGTTAAGTAAATTCATTTCATTTTCAGGCGGAATGCACCTACCGTACGCAGACAGTGCCAGATTACTCGTAGGAGCCTGGTGGTTGGTAGTACTTATAATGGCTACCACATACTGCGGTAATCTGGTAGCCTTCCTCACTTTCCCCAAAATCGACATCCCCATAACTACTTTGGAAGATCTGATCGCACATAAAGATACTGTTAGTTGGAGTTTCAGAGAAGGTAGTTACTTGGAAAGGGAATTGAAGGTGAGACTAAACAATTCATTCATTTATATTGTTCTCTCTGCTTTGTGACCGATAGTAGTTTTATTTCTAAAACGGTGTCGATCTAAGTTGTTATCCTTTCTTCCTTTTATCTATCCTGTTGTCTTGTCTATGAGAATCTTTACTTACCTTTTTTACGGAAGCCGTCTATTAGAAACTGTTTATACTGCAGCCAATTCGCTCACTGTACACATTCATTTATTATTTTTACTCCTACTGCATATTCCTACACTCGACTTTTCTGCAGTTTTAGACCCATCTGTGTGTCTCAGTGCAATCTGAGTTGTGTGTATTCTCTGACCCATTAATCTCGTGGGCAGATGTCCACCGAAAAGGTAATTGACTGTATCTGGATACCAACCAAATGGTGAAAAGTCAACATCCATACGATATACTAATTTGATTTATGATGTTACTGTGTCCTGATCTAACCATTTACTGATTGCTCAGGTTTTCCTCTAATATCTCATTCTTGCTTCCTTCGTATAGGTCTAGTAGGGCTTTCATACCTGCTGCTGATGTACCCTCCAAAACTCCTTTAATTCCACGGTAACCAAGTCTTTGCATTTCGCTTAAGTTGAGTATGGCATTTTTTTTGGCTTACCTTTAGTAACCAAACCACTTTTTATTGTTGGTTTTGACACCATTTTATAAATCCAATATAACATGTCTGGTTTTATACCCCACATTTTTTCATGAGTGCATTTTGGCTACCATTTACTTTAGCCATATATAGATTTGCACCATTAAGATTTATAGGACCCAATCCTTCTAAATTTCTCCTTCTGTAAAATTTTATAACTTGTGACTTCTGCAGGATTATGTTAAGTCCTATATATTCTGTATTTTATGTAACTACTCTTATATATTATCCCTGGTTATGCCATTAAATTTGTGTTGGGCTAAGATGACTAGGATCATCCACATAGCGCAGGGCATAATGTCTGTCGATGCTAACTCTAACTATCTATCCATTCATGACTAGATTTCACAAGAAGGAAGTTAATATTCTCCTGTGATAGCTTCTTACTAACTTTACTGGTACTATACCCTCAATAACGTTGAGTATATCACACCGTTCTTCAGCATGCAGTATATCCATCTGCAGCTTGCTTTACCTATTCCTTTCATCCGAATCACCCTTGTGATTGCTGCATCGTATGAGGTGTTATCGCATGTTTCCTATATATCGAGAAATGTACCCAGCATCATCGGTTTTCCAGAACATACTTTATGGTTTGGTAGTGAAGTCTCCTATTTTTGCACGATAAGTTTGGAAACTTATTCTTAATCTCATTGTTTTTGTCTAACGAAAGTTGTAGGTCATTTAAATTTATATCTAGCTTCTATTCCATTTCTTTTTTTTTTCATTTTTCTCTCTTTAAATCATTCTTTGTTTTTTTCATTTTTTCACGTAATCTTCAATTTGCGGATTCTTAAATTTTTTTGTTTGTTTCCAGGCATCAAATGAACCTAGATACAGAACTATCTTCGAAGAAAGATCAAGGCATGCATCTACCGATGATGATACTATTATACGAAATATAGAAGAGGGGAAACATGTTTACATCGATTGGAAGATGAAACTTCAATTCATAATGAAAAAACAGTTTCTTAGGACAGGTCGCTGTGATTTTGTCTTAGGTAAGTATATTGATTATTGTCTTTGCTTTGGTGTTATTTAAGTTTTATATTCTAGGTCTTGAGGAGTTCTTTGATGAAAAATTATCTCTGGTAGTGGCTCCAGAATCCCCATATCTACCTAAAATTAATGAAGAGTAAGTAATTGTTTGCTTAAAATGGATAATTCCCGGGAGTTGGCTGTATACCAATTAGTTTAAAAACGTCGAAATAAAACTTCTGTTTTAAGTGGTATAATATTTAATTAAAAATTAAATTAAAAATCCAAATGGAGTATAATAAAGTTCAGAACGTTTTCGAACGGATCAGTCCATCTTCAGTGAACTTTTGGAGTACTTGCGTAGCTAACCGCAAAACCAAACACTGGTTGGGGTTACATTGAAGGTAACATACTTAAAAGTATTAAATTATACGGCAAAATGTCGATGTTATTGGATAACTAACCGGGAATCATATGTCCCTACTCGAAGCAGAATTTTTACATCCACACGTGAGTACGGGAGTTGGAAAACTCCAACCAACCTGCGGTTAGTTGCGCAAGTACTCCAAACAGACGTATAATCACTTTTTTTCTCCTTTGTAACAAATTTAAACGCCACACTCTCTTCTTCCTTTTTGTGTGGTAAAGTCCTGCAATAACTATAAAGCCCGCCACTCACGTTCCAACGGCGCAGTACGATTTTGTCGAATGCAATTGCAGTACAATAATGTTGAAAATCGGATGGAACATACACGTACTGATTTTGCAGTATGAGTTTTACTTTCAAATCAGAAACATGTCAGATAAGGATATACTTTAAGCGCTCTTGCTTTGTATAAACGAAGAAACTACACGAAACGTAGGTGGTGGTGCAAAGATTGGTTGCTGAAAAATTATACATACTGTCACGTACATTTATTAAAAGAATTGCGATTATATCAAGATAATTTTAATTCCCTTTTGTAACATGTTCGGAAATTATTAATTTCTTTTTTACCAACTCTTCATTAGTATCCGCTTTCACGTCTTAAAATTTAGCAACCAAAATATTCACAGCTTTTTTTCTAGCGGTTTTATCATGATATGATTTTATTTTCCAAATACACTTTGTTCTTTATAAATGTCAAAGAAATCTCTTAAAAACCTAGCTATGCCGGTTTCAAAATTTAGCAGCAAATGATTTTTTTGCAGTCGTACGATTTTGTCGTTGTCACAATATATACACGATCAAATTTACGATCCAACCAACTCTGTCGTACTGCTGCAAACACACGATCAAATTTCATTCAATTTTCTAGCATTCGACAAAATCGTACTGCAGCGTTGGAACGTGAGTGACGGACCTAAAACTATTATAGCAGCGCCAATGATTACATCTCCATCTGTATCTGACATTGCGGACGGATCATCAACCAATACGAACATTCGCCACAATAGGTGCATTAAATGATAAAATAATTCCCACGTAATATGAAAAATCGCTGAATATCAAATTACTGGACGGTTTAGGAGAGAAATCACAAAGAAGAGATGATTTGAGATCTATCATTCTATATGGATATGCACCGACAGGAAACTCAACAGACGAGGAAGCTGAATCATTCTACGAGGATCTGACAACAGCAAGGAACCAAGAAAAATCACACTTCGTAATAATCACAGGAGATTTTAATGCAAAAATTGGTACAAAAGAAGACGGCGACACACAATATATCGGTCGCTTTGGGCTGGACAACAGGAACGAAAGGGGTGAGATGTTGTACAACTACTTAAACAACGAAAATTTATTTTGTCTCAACACTTTCTTTAAAAAATCTAAACAACGTAAATGGACATGGATCAGCCCAGACAAGAAAACTAAGAACGAAATAGACTACATACTCTCCAATAACAAAAACATATGCACCGACGTGACAGTACTAAACAAATTCTATACCGGAGTGACCATAGATTGGTTAGAGCGAACATTAAAATACAGACGAGAGTAGAACGAAGCAAACTTATTAAACGAGAACGATACCCAACCACCGATGTCCTGTTTCAAAAACAAACGGAATACCAAAAAGAGCTAAGCACAAGACTAAAATCAATAGAGACACTGAAACAAATGGATATAAACGGACTAGCCACTAAAATAAAAGTAACTGTAACAACATCGGTTAAGAAAATATGCTCAAACACGAAAACAGCCAAAACATCTAAACTCCAACCTAATACAATTAAACTACTCCAAGAAAGACGAAACAGAACAGATCGAACTTCGGACAGCTTTAAAAGTTTAAACAAAAATGTGAAGAAAGAAATCAGGAACGATCATAGAAACTATAATAACAATCTAATAAAAAATATAATACAAGATAACTGCAACATGAAAGTACTCAAAGCAAAAAACTCAAGCGGCACAACAAAAATCATAGAAATAAAAAATGAGAAAAACGTCACCGTCAGAGACAGAAAGGAAATAAGCGAGGCCATTGAAAAATTCTACACTAAACTATACTCGGTAAATACACAACCACAACAACGACGTACTCAACGAACAATAATTAACACCGGCTCAGAAGAAATACCGGACATAACCGACTATGAAATAAGAATGGCCCTAAATCAACTTAAAACGAATAAATGTCCGGGAGAGGATAAGATTACAGTTGAAATGTTGAAAATTGGTGGCAGAAAAATGGAACAGGTATTAAATGTTTTATTTAATAAAGTAATTGATGAAGGAAAGATTCCTCAAGAATGGTACAACTCCGAGGTCATTTTACTATTCAAGAAAGGAAACAGAGCAAACATCGAGAATTACCGACCAATATCCTTGCTATCACATCTGTATAAATTACTAACTAAAATCATAACCAACCGCCTAACACATAAGCTCGATTTCTATCAACCTATCGAGCAGGCTGGATTCAGAAAACATTTTAATACCATAGACCACTTGCACACCGTAAGAACACTGATAGAAAAATGCACCGAGTATAATGTTCCAATTCATATGGCGTTCGTCGATTTCCATAAAGCATTCGATTCCATCGAATTATGGGCAGTGCTTGAATCTCTAGAAAATGCACGCATAGATTCAAGATACATTAACATAATTAAAAACATATATGAAAATGCCACCATGCATATAAAGCTGGACGAAAGCACAAAAACTAATCCCATAAGACTACAACGGGGAGTAAGACAAGGAGACACCATCTCTCCCAAACTATTTACCCTTGCTCTAGAAGATATTTTTAAGAAACTGTAATGGAACAATAAGGGTATCAACGTCGACGGATCATACTTAAACCATTTGAGATTCGCAGATGACATAGTTTTTAATAGCCGATAATATCCAAGAACTAAATGATATGTTACAACAATTTAAATGCAGTTTCAGGAGCGGTAGGCTTAAAAATGAATTACAGCAAAACAAAAATACTGAGCCGAGACCAGACAAATATAACAATACAAAATCATACCATAGAAAATGTGGAACATTATGTATATCTAGGTCATGTTATCAAACTAGGAAAACCAAATCAAGATGCTGAAATTAAAAGAGAACACAACTGGCTTGGGGCGCTTTCGGCAAACTAGCACATATCTTGAAAAACACCTCCATTCCTATAAACTTAAAGAAAAAGGTGTATAACACATGCATACTACCGTTTGTACCTACGGCTTGGAGACAGTAGCACTTACCAAAAAATCTGCCAAAAAATTAGAAACAACGCAAAGAGCAATGGAACGAATCATGCTTGGAATATCACTAAGAGACAAGATTAGAAACACCGAGATAAGACGTAGAACGAAGATTAGGGATATTGTGGAAGAAATTACAAAAATGAAATGGCGCTGGGCAGGTCACGTAGCCCGATATAATGACAACAGGTGGACACGGAGAATTCTAGAATGGAGACCAAGGACGACAACAAGAAGCATGGGAAGACCTCAAAAAAGATGGGTAGATGACATAAGAGCAGTGGCTGCATACTGGCAGTCAGACATCCTTAGGATACCTGACAAACAACACTTCCAACGAAAAATGATAACAAAATAAACGGCCCTTGTGAGGACGCACAACTAGACAATCGGACTATAGTTCGAATTTGCCACATAAACATAGAAGGCATAAGCTATGCAAAAAGCCAGTTTTTATCAAAACTATTAAAAGATGACAACATTGACTTATTGCTATACAGGAAACCACTGCGAAACCAGAGGAGCAACTACAAAAAAGGTGGCAAAATTCCGGGATAAGAACTATTAAGCGCAACTTACCAACAGAAAATATGGCACAGCTACATATGTCAAAGAAGATATTGAAAATGCCTCGCTAATCTCTACTTCCATGATGACTGTATTTATAATGTGGTCACAAAATCGCTAGCATTACCGTGTCCAACATTTACAAGCCACCTGCTATTCATTGGCCAGTCCAAACAATTCCAGTACAGCCTCACCCTGCTGTATATGTTGGAGATTACAATACCATCATGACACAGTGGAAGTACAAAAATAGTGATGCAAATGGGAATGCTTTAATAAAATGGGCAGAAGACGAACGCCTATACCTTTTGTTTGATGCCAAAGATCGACCAACTTTCAGATCTGCGGCATGGAGGCGGAATACAACCCCGACCTATGCTTCGTCTCGACCGACAACAAAGACTTACCTTTAGGGGCTTTCACGAAGAGTTCTAACTGATTTCCAACACAGCCAACATCGACCAGTAATAATAGAAGTAGGACGCAAATCCCTTTAATTAGTTCTATCCCACGTCCAAGACGGAATTTTAAAAAGGCCAACTGGATTGACTTCTCTGTGGATCTAGACAAATGTCTAGGATGGAATTACACACCGAATATCAAAAACTACCACAGATTTGTTGGTGCCGTGCTAAGTGTAGCCAAAAAACACATACCAAGAGGATAGCGCAAAGAATATGTTCCTGGCTGGTTGGAAAATAGCGAGGAATTATATCAGAGCTTTCTTGAAACTGGCGACCAAGAAATAGCGGATGAACTACTGTACAGCCTAGACGCCGCTATAAGACAAAAGTGGACCGAAACAGTAGAAAGTCTAAACTTCCAGAAATCAAGCAGACAGGCATGGTCATTACTAAGAAAATTAGGGAGTGGTGTCCGTAAGAAACGCCAAGAAGC